ATTAGAATAATATTTGTCAAGCAGAATTGAGAAAAAGTATTTAATCTTCCTTAGATAAGATGATAACTTTATACTGAACTTGTATTCATCAATAATATGTAAGTATTTTCTTAAAGCAAATTAGAAGTAATATTCTTGATAGGTACTTTATTTATTTTTTTCAAATAAAGATAATTAATTTATTGATCTAGTTCTTGTTATCTTTTAATTTTGAGATGTAAAGATCAAAATCTTGTTTATATAAATATTCATAAAAATTATTAAAAATAGAAATTCATATTTCATAAGATCGAAAAAATGGAATATATATTTGAATTTTTGAAAAATTTGAAATAAATACTAGTAATTAAAGAAGAAAAAGATCACACATTATCTTGATCTTAATTATAACTGAATTTGTAACTGAGCTAAGATGTTCAACTATAGTTTATACTTTTTGGTGAAAATTTATATATACTTAAATATCTAGATTCAGATATACTATCAATTTAAAATATTATTATGATTCAAATTTTAGGATTTTTCTTGGTATTTATTATTAATTATAACTATAACTATTAATTATATCTTACATAAAATTAATCTATAATAAGTTATGTAATTTTGAGATTTCATACACAATAAATGCATTTTCTTTTATCATCAAGATAAAATATTACTACTACTAATAAATATCTTATTTGTATTTGCTTAGTATGTGAATAGTCTTATACTAATATTTTATAACAACCTGGTTGAATATCCAATAGTGCGCAATAAATACAAATATAAGAATATAATTACATATAATTAATTTATTTGTTTATAAGATTTAATAAAGATAATCAAGTAATAAATATTTATTTAAAGATATTTTATTTATTATATGTTGAATCTAATTGATTATAACTTGCTTTTTTACAATTACAAGATTAGCTGTATTTATATCTAATATTTTCTATTAATTAATATTATATTTAATTTAATTATAATAAAGATAATATATGTGATAAATATAATAAATATAATATAGATAATAGATAAAGTATTTTAGCTAAATTTAATAAATATGATAAAATGATATTTATAAAATGTTGTGAATATTTGAAATATTTTTAAAGTATTAAAAAATTAAAAAATTATATAAATTATACAAATTATAAATTATAATAAATAATAAATCATATGTAAAAATCACATGTCAAAATCACATGTTAAATATAAAAGTCACATAATTTCAAATTTATCCAATAAGAATATAATAAATTAAATAATTAAATAATAAATAATTTAATTAAATTAAATTATTAAAAATGTTAAATATAATAAAAATGATTAATTATCAATAAAATAACTATATTATGGATCATAACAATATATTTATTAATTATTATTGTTATTATTATTGTTATTATTATAATAATAATATCATTATTGACTAGAATTCTAAAAAAAAAGTCTAATTTAATTCAAGTTTAAACCAGACTCGAATCTGATCAAAAGTCTGATTCAAAAATTCAAATCTAATTAAAAATCTAATTTGAGTTTGATTTGAATTTTGAATCAGATTGAACCTGATCAAAAGTTTAATTTGAGTTCAAGTAAATATTATAGATCATAACATGAGCTACAAATTGATATAAGATAGTTAATATTTAGGATAAATATTTAAGAAATTATATGAATTTAAAAAATAATTTTAATTATTAAAATTTTAATTTAGTATAATAAATATTTATTTTATTATAGTAATTATAAACTATAATTATAAGTAAAGTTGTAATCAGAAATAAGAGCTACAAATTAATATAAGATAATTATCATTATTAATAATAATTATTTAGAAAATTGTATAGTATTTATAATCAAATTTAATAAATATAAAAATAAAAATACTTTAGTTATTACTATATAAACTTTTAATTCTTACTAAATACCATAAATTGTGCTTATAAGTAAAGTTATAATTTATATTTAGAGCTACAAATTGGTATATGATATTATATGCCAAGCTTTAATCAAACTTGAATCAGACTTGAACTTGTATAACAGTTCAATTTGAGTTCAATTCGAACTTTGAATCTTTTTTGAACTCAAGTCAAAGTCTGGTTTGAGTTCAATTTGAATTTTGAACTGAACTCAAATCCAGGTAAAAGTCTGGTTTAGTTTAGTTCATAGGAACACTACCTCTTATTACTATTGTGAAGTTATATTACCTTATATATTTTTATATTTGATCTTTTATTTATATTGCGAAGTCAATAATAATATTGAATTAATAAAAAAAATTATATTTTACTTGTTTATAAACCAATTTAAAAGAAATACTTGACTTATTATAAATGAAATTATAAAAAACACAATTACTTTTGAATTTTTTTGATCTCATTCTAGCTGATCAACAAAATGAATATACATTACCTACCTTTAAATAATTTAGTAAACTCTCCCAATTTAAAGTTATTTAATATATTAACTCTCCTACCTGACTCTATCACATATACTCTCGTGACAAAATCTAAAGTCATATTAAAATGGTAATAATATTATTAAATTATAAATATCTTATATCTTATTGGAAGAATATAATCACATAAATAAGCAAATGAACAAGCAAGTAAATGAATAAATGAACAAATAAGTAAATAAACAAGCAAACAAGTAAACAAATAAGTGAATATTAAACTAATATAATTTAAATGAACTAATGAATATAAATTCATATAGTTGATGAAATATAATTTGAACATATATAAAAGTAATATGTATCATAATTATTAAAATTAAATTAAAACAAGTTCTTTGATAATAATATTCTTAATGATCATCTTATAACTAGTTATCTATACTTTTGATTATTTATACGAGCAAAGTTTGTACTTTATATAGAGTAAGTAGTCAAGACAAACTTCTTTTTATATTTCTTTAACAAAATATTCTTGTTTTTTGTATAATTACTTCAGCATCTTTATTATAAGTATTATATAGATCTTGAATTAATATTATAATAGCTTAAGCACGTTTGTCAAGAACATTATAAATTATCATCTTTATATTAAATTATTTGAATATATTTGTGACAAAATCTATTGAATATTATATTGAATAAAGAAATTATTATTATAATTCATAAATCTGTCTTTGAGATTATATTACTAATAATATATTACTTATAAAACTCATTTTCAATCTTGTATTACTAATAATATATTATTTATCTTTGATCTCATATTGTTGATAATATAAATATTAGTCTCTATATCTTTAACTTTAAGCTTTTGAGAACTCTTTTTAGCAATTGTTATAATTTAGATATTCTATAACATAATTATTTAATTGATAATTAATTACTTTTATTATATTTAATATTTTTAATAATTTAATTGAATTAATTTAATTATTTAATTTATTATATTCTTATTGGATAATTTGAAATCATATGACTTTTATGTATAACATGTAATTTTGATATGTAATTTCTATATGTGACTTGTACATGTGATTTTACATGTAACTTATTAATTATTATTACTTATTAATTATTATTATAACTTTTAATTTATAATTTCTTGTAATTTCTTATAATTTATCTGAATTTATTATGATTGATCAGAATTTACTATAATTAACTATAATTAACTAGAAATTATCTAAGTTTATATTTTATTATTCTTTATTATTCATTATTGTTTATTATTCATATTTAATTATTATTAACTGTAATTGACTGTAATTAGCTGTACTTAATTATAATTAACTGTTCAATAATTCTGTATCAAAAAATATATAAATATAGCTGGTCTTGTAGCTGTAAAAAAATCAAGTTGTAGTCAATTAGACCCAACAGAACAAGTTGTAATCAATTAGATTCAACACAATAAAATTATAACAATTAATTCAATTAATAACTTAAATAAAATACTTGAATAATACTATTACACTTTGCATTTATTAAATACAACAAAATTATTTTACATGCACTAATACTGTCTTGATAATATTATATATACATTTATTATATTTTGATTTATAACTTTTACATTGTTAAAGATCTAAAGTACACTTAGGATTTAATCACATTAAGAAGATTCACAACATCTTTTAATAATAATAATAAAATAATGCATATTCATTAGCAAATAAATTCATGTTATAACTGAGTTTAGCTACCTTGACATAACATTATTCACATTAATTTAGTACACAACCCCTAAAAACTCATTCATAACACAGTTCAGATTATTGTATTAAAAGAATACAATTATTATTAATCTTTAAGTAATTTTGTCATTAGTACTTTTAGTACTTATTCATATTTAGTCTAATAGTTATAAAGTATTGTTAATACTTTGAATTATCATTAAGATATTGGAAGTTCTCTTTGAATATTTCTTTAAATCTTATAAATATCTTTGAGTATTTCAAAGATCAATCAAAATAGTAACATTATAAAATAATATATTTTTAAAATTTGCATTCATTTTGTCTTCTTTTATTAAATTATTCTCCAGTTTGCAAAATCTTGACATGAAAAGGGATTTATCAGATGCGTTTAAGTGAGAGCTTTCTGCGAACTATTATTTGAAAGGGTGATATGTTATAAACAAGACAAAAAAACTGGTTTTTACTATGTAAATCACTTCAAATTTTATTTATTACACAATGTGTTACACAAATCAAATGGAGTGATTTACATAGTAAAAAGTTTGTCAAAAGCTCTCATTTAGGCACAATTGGTAAATCACTTTTCATGACAAGAATTTGTGAACTGGAGAATAATCAAGCAAAAGTAGACAAAATAAATGCAGATTTCAAAGATGTTGTATTCTATAAGGAGATGTTATTTTTCCAGGCAACAACATTATTTAAGTGTTTTGGTCGAGACTTTAGACGTGACAAATCGTGTGACTGATATACAAAATTATTTTTGATTAGCTAATCACATAAAGTCACATGAAAATCAAGAGGGTTATGACTCACAAGTTGAATCTCTCCATATCGATATTATCAAAATTCATAAAATGCAACAAGAATTTCAAAAGCAAAATCAGAGTGTTTCTCAACAGCCATTGCAAAAGTCGACTATTACTGCATCACAAACACCACAGCCACAGTCACCACAACAGCAAAAAATACAACAAGCAAAAAAAGTGTTACCTGTACCTGGATTTTCAGAGGAGCCCATCGAAGCGCCATTAGTTTTCCAATGTAGCGAATGTTTAATAATTGTCGGAGATTCCTTTGCATGGGTATCAGCTGACCAGGATTTAAGTAGTATAGTGTTATTTGGTTGGTTTCCAAAAGAACTGTTCGGTATTTTCGTAATTAATCTCTTCAGGGTTGACAACGTTGTTTAATTAAAGAATTAATTCAAAATTTTATTAATCAAAAGCAAAACCTAAAAATTTACGGGTGGGTGATGATTTATTTTGGTCAAAAGAGGGAGTTGATGTTGGAAGGTGAGGGTTTTAATTTTATTTGCTATTTCGATCTTTAATTATTTATTAATTTGGATATTTGCTGCGCTATGTTTCTTTTTAAAGTACTTTCAAAATGACTTACTGTAGTGGATGTAATAAACCTATTGGTAAAGTCTATCATACAACACCTCGGCAATTTGATTATCTACGGTATGTGAAAATTTCTTTTTTGTAAAATCTACATTTTGAAATCTAATAACATAAAACACCTTTAATCTCTAGAGATTTTTACACAGTTAAACTCGAAAATGTTGCGATGTAAGTTAACATTTATTTTGATTTATTGTTATCTATGTTTGTTGTATATTTATTATCAAATCTTAAAAAATTCTAGATATCAATTGGGAACATATATTAAAGGCGAAAAAATACCACCTGATATGATTACATTTCCAAGTTCGAAAAGCTTACAAAGTTCAATAGACATGGTAAATTTTTAATTGCTTACATGAACATTCTTTGTTTAATTTAACAAAATAACCATCATGATGATGATGATAGGTAAAAGATGTTATACTAGTTTTGAATGATCGTCTATCGAAAATGGACGAACGGTTATTAAAAATCGAAAAATACTTTTCGAAAAAACCAACAAAAAAGAGTCAATCAGAAAGTTCTGGCGTCTCTGAAAGCACGCTTAGTCCCGAAAGTAATATAAAATAGATTTTTGGGAACTTCAGTTCGTATTCAGGTAATGTTTTTGTTTTGATACACAAAAAACTGAGTTTAAATACGTAATTCACAATTCAATTTAAGAATTACTTAGTGTAGATTATATAATGTGAACAATCAGATCCACTAAAATCGATAGATTTTAGTTTGCCGAAAAAAAAGGAGTTCACCAAAATTACTGCTGAATTTGAAAGACTACTTCTGATGATGGTGGTTCTTGTTTTTCATTATTTGACTCTATCGTTAAGACAGTGTAAACGATATTAATGCAAAAAAGTCCAAGAAATAAATTCCCATATAACTTTTTATCCAAATACAGAGGCCCGTCGTGATTTGCAACAGAATCTTTAGCAATATATAAATTTCTTAACGAGCTTGCGCGCTCTTCTTGGTTCTCTGCAAATCTTAACACAGGACCAGGAATAAAAACATTCGATTAACATAAAAATGTATTTTATATGTAAATTACGCGTGAATGGAAGAAATTAAAGTTTCTGGGATATAAATCACCATTTCTAAACTGATGACATTGATAAAGTATTAGTTTTTATCACCAATATCTCTAAAAAAGTGTTAGGTCACGTGATTCCGATCCCGATGCACCCCATGATATTTTTGATTGTCCCACCATTTTGAATCGGATTTCACGTAGGGATTTTCGAATAATTCATTTATTACCAGAACCAGAATCTCCATAAAATAAAACACGACAGGTTTCCACCATCGATTTTGTTTCCAAGATGGTTTAAGAGATTCTTGTTGATCTTTTGCGATTTTTAATGTTTCAGAGTATGAATTACCAAACCATCGAGTATTTACATTTTCTCTAACAACAACTTCTGTTAATTCACCTTCTAAACAATCGGATAGTTTTTAATTTTCTTCACAAGGTTATGGTCTCATTATATAACTTCATTTCCTTTTTAGATACAATACGACGATGTCTATTCACTCTCTCTATTCCATAATCAAATGGAATAGTATTCTTTTAGGATTTCCACTTTCATCTAATTCGTAATTTTTTCACATAATTCCCTTCTGGTTAAACATATTCAGCTATACAATAATCTCTCGCTTGATCAAATGAACCTCTATTTGCTTTTAAACAATTTCTTAATAAACTACGTCGTTCTTGTTTAAATAATTGACCATAATATTGAAGATGTAAACGACCAGTTATCTTACATCTTTCAAATTGACATACTGAATATTTTAATTCTTTTAATTCCTTTGAAAAATGTTTTATTATAATACACATGTTACAAATTTTTAATTGTAATCATTTTTCTTTTAATTATAATTTTTCTTTATTATAATTCCCAATACATTTAAAATTTTCTTGACAATTAATACAATAATATTCTGTTGAACAATTAAAACCTCAATACCAAATGAGGATGTTTTTATTCACTATCACTATCACTATACCTATTTTTACATTTACATTTACAATTACAATAAATTTTAGTAGTTATATTACAATAACTGGGTGTATGCTGCTTCTTCATTAAATGGAAAAATCTATTAATATTTAATTTATCGAATAAATAATATAAATTTTCCTCTCTCACATCATCACCATTACCATCACTATTATAACATTTAAGAAAACTCTTAGTTCTATCATTTACAATAGTTAATAATGAATTCTCGATTAAATTTTTCCAAAAATGACTTTTATCTTTATTTAATTCAATGTCAAATGTTTTAGTAAACACTTTTTCAAATCGTGATTTAAACGAATGATTAAAATTTTTCGATGTTAACATAATATTCTGTATAACTTCCATAGGATGTAACCGATTATTTCTTTTTTTTCTAAAAACTTCATAATATTCATCATACTCTTCATCTTCATCATATTCAATTAAGAATAAATCATCGATAATATAAGTAAATATATCTGAAAATATTTCCTCTGGAAGTATTTCCTTTGGAAGTATTTCCTCTGGAATAGTTTCATTAAATTTTAACTTCTTTACATTAATTGTATTTTCTCTTTGGATTTCACAAGAACGTTTAGACATTTTATAATAAAGTTTGAATTTACGCAAATAAAACCTCACCTACAAAATTAATTTTGATTTTATTATTTTAATTTTTAGAAAAAAATTCAGCTGTCAACAGATTTATTTATAGCTTTTTGAGTTTCACAAATGGTTAATGGTCCCGAGTCAGAAAAATTTTGTGTACGCTATTTTTCAAAACTGACTATTAAAAACATTGAATATTATCAGTTTTTCAGACTGATTATTAAATATTGTCAGTTTTTTCAAACTAACTATTAAACATTGTCAGTTTTTTCAAATTGACTATTAAATATTGTCAGTTTTTCAAAAAATTGTCAGTTTTTTCTAAAAATTATCAGTTTTTTCAAACTGACTATTAAAAATTGTCAGTTTTTCAAACTAACTATTAAAAATTGTCAGTTTTTCAGACTGACTATTAAAAATTGTCAGTTTTTTATTAGTTATTAAATATTAAATATTGTCAAACATTGTCAACTTTTTTTCATTAATTATTAATCATTGTCAACTTATAACTGATATTTCAAATATAAAAGATATTCACACAAAACGAATACTTAATATCACCTATAATAAAAAAAGATTAAATCAAAATCCTGGTGGTTTTTTTTTTGAATATTTATATATCAATTAATTCGTATTAACATTATAAACTATCAACAAATATAACAAATTCTATGGATTAGTGAAATGTTCTCTAGCTCACCGCATGAGAACTAAATGTCGCGGTCTCTTACAACACTCACTATAAACTCGAAGAAATAAAAGATCATTTTATTGAATGGGTTACTAACGATATTATAATTGCGTAAGCTAGCAAGGAAATAAATAAATACCTTTTAAATCACTCATCTTATGAAAATTAATATTCAATTGTATAGTTTTGGAAATTCTTGACGTGTAAACACGTAATTACTATGCCGAGTACATACAAATTTTTAGTCAGATTAGAGTCGGCTAGCATTACGAATAAGTGGACATTATTGAATTTTTTTGCACTCATTTATTCTAATTTACATACTTTAATTACGCATGTTACATGACTCCTATACTCTTTTACCCTTATTGTTATTGCCTTCTTTCTCGGAAGCATGGTGATAAAATTCGTTAAAGTCAAGTCGAACGCTCAAGAAACGTAAATCAGTATCATGATGATGAGCTAACGAGGTCAAAAAGTTCATCAACTCATTCTGTATATAAAATAAGAACAAACTGTTAACGTCACGTTAAGGCAAGAAAACAAATTATTTAATCGAATATATAATCACACAATTGCCTTAAAGTTCAACGATATATCGGCTAATTTTTGCTGTATAGGTTTAAGTGTGTCTTTAAGATTATCTGGCACTCGAATGGCATTATTTCTTTTGTATTTAAATTCATACTATTCGAGGATTTAATGAAAAACACATACATTAGAATACAAGAAACTCGTTTTCTAAATATAAGAACAAAGTTTCTTACATTATCAGAATTTGCCGCAAACTTATAAAGTTCTTCCTGAAAGTATTAACTATATTTTAGAATTAAATAGACTTGAGATAGAAAATAATTGTATATAATTAATTTCTTACCAGAGCAATCATATACTGCAATATATATGCAATGATCGTCGATACTCTCTCCAAATAATTCTATGTGTATAAAATTATCATTACTATTAATGTTTATTATTTATTATATATTATTACTGTACCTTATTATTACCGGGATTAAGAAAACTTTTTGTAGTGACGTTATTTAGGTATCTATTATGTGCCTCAATCAAAGAATCTAAATCCCCCGATTTTTTCTCGATATCAGTCACAAGTTCATCCCAGGAACATTCAATCACCTATTTAGTTAAATGAATAATCAATCAAATGACTCCGCGTTTCAATTGACATAGAAATTGATGGTTTACCTCAAATAAAATATAATATTGAAGTTGATAAACAAAATGAATCATTTCATTACAAACAACTCGACTAGAATTTATGTCCCTTTTTAATTCTATACACAAAAATATATATTGATCATTAGTGCATTCGATTTGTTTTTGATCAGCATCAAAATTTCTCGATGGCGAATTTTTCCATCAACATAAAGAACAAGGATAACCTTCGATTTCAGCCAAATTTCTAGCGCTAGTAGTTTGTCGGCGCCATGCATCCGAAAGTCCGTATTCTACACGTTTTAAGCGCCACAGAAAATTAAATAGTCTGAGATATTCTTCCATTGCTTGTGGGGTAAAGATTGTATTGATCGGAGAATCAACGTGATAATCCAAACTGAAAACATCCCAGCCACATTCACCGGGAGAAACCTAATTGATCATCACGTTGATTATTATATATGTTTACAAAAGTTATGACGAAATATTTACCTCCAATAGTCTAACATCCAATCGGCGAAGAATTTCAGGATCGTCATATTGTGCATTAGATGCACGAATAGCTGCTTCTAATGTTCCCGTAAGATTATGGCGATGAAGAGTATTTGCGGGATTTGATAGTCCTGGTCTATTCACCGCCACCACAACGATCATTGATGATTAATAGTATTACACAGAATGATAATTGAAAATATGAAAAATTATTTACCCTAATTGACCCATTAAATACTGTATAAAGTCACCTTGACCTAATATTAAGTATCGTTTCAATGCTGTAAGATGCTCCATTAATTTATACTTAGAATATAAGATATTTAATAGTCGCTTGCTTGTCGCGGTATATGTGGCATCTATCGAATTCTCTAGTGCAATAATATCACCATATTTTAACACTAAAAAAATATTAACATTTACATATAAGAATCATTAATTAGATGAAAAGAATCATTAATTAGATGAAAATAATATCAATTTATTAAATCTTTTACATTTTTCAGATCCAGTTTCTTGATTTTGAGTTGATACCCAATCACTATCATGACAACTATAACGAATAAAATTCAATGATTTGCCAATGGAAAATATCTAGATATAGAAAATTAATAAGAATTCATCCCTTCCTCTATCCGTCACAAATCTCCAATTAACACAAAAAAGGAACCTTTTTTGCAAGTGTTGTACTGATAAAAGTAGGTTGCATATCTGAACGTATTGAATATTTCAACTGCCAAAGCTTCTCCTCTTCTACATCATCATCGCATTTCACAAAAAATTCCTCGAAAGGATCTTCTAATTCTCCTTCATAGATCCAACGCGTCAACATTTCATAGAATGGTCTGGAAACCTAGTTTATAATAATAAAGATTTATGTGATGATGATGATAATAATGGTAATGATAATAATAATGATGATGATACCTCTTCAAGCATATCATTAATAAACTTTTGAGTGAATGGGTCACCATGATTTGTATATTTGTAAATAATTGAGACTAAAGCACCTCCTCTGTGTTCCTTACAATGATTCACGAGTACAGACATTATTCGTAATTTAGCCAATGAATCTTGTGTCCATACTAAAACTCTTTTCAGTGAAAGACCTCCTTTAGATGATCCAGTTTCTACTTTTTTAGTGATTTGTGTTTCTAATATAGCCATTAATCTAAAATAATCAGTCAGCTCCCGTTGTAACGCGGAACAGAACGCCTGAAATTAAATTATATATCCTTTAAAAATATAAATTATTTACTTTACCTCGCTCAATATACACTCAATTATCTTATCATAATATATTTCTCACCTGTCCAACTAATCCAATTGATGAATCATTTATTTTATTTTTCACAAAATTATCAACTTTTCCATATAATAATCCCATCTCTGATAATTTGATTACAAGATCACGCGTTGGACGATTCACAATAATCTTATGACAGATGCAAATGTAAATATAGATATAAAATTGTTGCGTAAACATATTAATAGCATTACCTTTGGATCTATATTGTAAGAATCGGTTTCTCTATTAAATTTAATATATTGACCATCAATCCCTTGAAAGACAAATACGATATCTCGTAACAAAAGATCTTCAGAAATTTCATGTTTCGCTATAAATTATAGGAATATTGACGAAATAGAATTCAATGTTTTTCGAATAATGAAAAATCCAACACTGATGCTACCTGTTGATTGATTACGTAGAATTTCATCTGGTGGCAAACTTTCCTCAGCTGTTGGAGGATTTTCATTTGATATTGGAGTTTTTAGTTTGGCTCCTGAGGCTGTTGATGAAGATGGAATATTGGGCATAAATCGATTTTGGGAGTCTTCTGATGTTTCTTTTACTGTAGGTTCATATAGACCTCCAGAAGAGAATACATAATCTAAAGGCTGAAATTTGAACAGATTATAGTAGCATTTATTACAGGACATGTCGATGAAGTTATGTCTTATATGACTTACTATAGTATCTCGAGTTGTAGAAGAATCACTGATTGACAATAAAAAATATAAAATAGCCCATCTTTGCGTCAACATCGACTATCAAGTGAACAAAAATTAGAAAAAATTTCTATAAACACGTGAATAATATTTTAATACTTTACCTGAGATTGCAGTTTTGCGAACAAAGTTGTGAATCTTAATGCTTGTTCCGTTGATTTGTTTTCTCGAATTACTAGAAATAAAAGTTAGTCAATAGTGAATAATAAAAGCTACATCACAATTGATTTATATAATATAACTCACATTTCTTCTTTATAAGTTCTGATACGTGTATTTCATCATTTACCTTCGAAGGAGTCATTCGACTAATAGAATAATATCATTTTAGATATGAAACGCGCAAATTAAGTCAAATTGATTTCATTGGTTTTGGTTTTATCTTCATACCTTCCCAATATCTTTATACAATACTCGTGCATTTGTCGTTCGTGTGTAGATAAATCAGTATCAGCGAATTCATTATCAAGTAAAGTTTTTCGCTTATCTTTATCAACAATAGGTTTACTTGACGCGCGTAAAAGGTATTTTACCAATAGTTGTAAGGTTTTTGCAATGCGTTCGAAACTTGTATCATTTGCAACAATGGCTTTAACACTGTTCCCGCTGGTATTACCAACAAGTCTTGAATTCAATGGAACCTTCGGTTGATTATTTGTAATGTTCAAATTCATGGTAAATAATTTAATAATTCATAGCATGTCAAAGTTTATTTTTAAATATACCGATACACGTAAAAAAACGAGACTCTTATCATGTGATAATACATCGGCCAATTAGAGTTTAAGATCCATTAAACATGTAAAAAAAGAAATAACATGTAAAAAAAGAACTAATGCGAACTACCGATGTCGGAAGATCCGGTATCTTTATTATCGGTTTTTTCGGTTATGATTTTTGGTACGATTTCCTCTATCTTAGTGGATTCATCCGCTTTTTCCGATGGTTGCTGTTGCCGTTGCTGTGGCTGCTGTGGCTGCTGTTGCTGTGGTTGCTGTTGCTGTTGTTGTTGTTTTGGATCAGTTTGTTTTTCTTTCTCCATTAATGCTTGTGATTCAGCTTTTGTTTGTTCATCGGTTAGTTCTTCGCCATCCTCTTCGTCGTGATTTATTAACTTGTCTCCACAACATGGATGACAAACTAACATTCTAGTGATTACTTTATATGCTTCATAGATAATCAATTCCTTCTGATTAACTCTCCATACATTTGATATCCAAGCTAAGATATTTAAAAATGCTGTCATTGTAATTCCCACTGTGGATACAATTAATGTTGTTTTGGTGAATAATGCTGCATGTTGTACCGCAATTGTTAATTCCGTTGCATTAACATTGGATGCTGTATTGTTATCAAGTTGACGTGTCACGAGATAATTTAATCCAGTATCTACAGCGACTGGCGTTACTATTTGAGGATTTGAATCAATTAAATAAGCGATATCATCTAATTTCGTGTTTGTCACAATCGAGGCAGCCACGATAATGAATAATTGACTTAGAATTCCTAATATTTGCGAAAATTGTGCATCTATTCTTTTAACGGATAAGTGATATTTTTTTAAAGTCGGTTTCATTAAATGAATTAATTGAAATGGTCCACCGTAATAAATTGGCGCCCGCAGATTCTCCGGTAATCCTTGTTTACCGTTAGGATGTAAGAAAGTAATACCGAATACTATCAGATTTGCTAAAACAAAGAATACAATCTGAAGACTACAAGTGACTCCGCTGATTTTACCAATAATATTAAAATTATTAAAATCCCATTCTGTGAAATCAAAGCTTCCAATAAAAACTTCATAGAAAAATTCATCGACCGATTTACTTGATCCCAATAAAGTTAACCAATTCAACACCAAAGACGTATAATATAACAAATAAGTGATCGCTAAATCAAGTTTATAAATTCGATGAGTAATTTTTTTCTCTTCTTCTTTACGCTCTTCTGGTGTATCCGGATCTATTTTATTGATTCCATTCTCAATATCATCCTTAACTCCCATCTTCTCGAGCCCATCCAATCCGGATTTAATTGCATCCCCACCATAATCTGCTCGTAATTTTCCAATTGCACTTAAAATCTTTTTTCCTCTCGTATCAATTGAAACTCCAGGAGTTTTTTGGGGAGCAGGTCCACCTGGTGCCGCGGCTACTGCTGGTGTTGTAGTTGGGACTTTCGGTCTGGACATTGTTGTTGTGCTAATGCTATTGTTATTGTTATTATGTCAATTTTTCACAATTATCCTTCGTCTTTTTACTTAATTCCTTACTGTTAAAAACAGAAAAAACCGTCGTTTATACAAGAACGGGAAAGAGAAGAAAAAAGCGAATTCATTTGCCGTTATTTATTATTATAGCGTAACCACAGGCTAATATGTAACATAGCATTTTTGGATTATTTTGGGTCATAACGATAAGAGAAGGTATGCATATATTTACAAACTCGGCTTTAACGTTATGCATGAATGTTTACAACAAAGGAGTAATTAGCATTTATTGAATCTGGGACAAGTTTGTAGATCGGTAACACAACGAACGTTAAAGATTGATTTTAAAGGTTAGGATAGGGTTAGGTTAGGTTGAGGTTAAGATTATATGTAAAACTGTCTCCCCGACATTTTTTATTAGTGCTTCAAACTAGACTTAAGCATGCGTTTCCTGTATTTTTCACATTTTTCATTTTCTTTGTGTCAGATTTGTTTTGGATTGATTTATTTCGAGTTAACTATATATATAACTCGAACCACTAAATAAATGTTAGAGTCAACTTGAGTTTAATAATAACATTTCTCTCGCCAATCCTGGGGGAACACTAAAGCCCGGGTAGTGCAATCCGAATCGAGTAAATCTGGATATAATCCAGATTGATTTGTCATGCAAAAAAAGTTTACAATCTCGTTATAGTGGAGACATCGGGACAAGAAAAAAAATCTTCAAGCTTATATCGAGAGAATAATATATAACTTCACTATATCAAGCGAAAGTTTAATAGTAATCCTGAGAAAATTCTTTACTATAACGAGAGATCACTATATCGAGAGTGAATTGTAATATTATTTTTTAACCATATATACCAAAATACTAAGATGATTAGTCGATTTTTGACAGTATTCGGTATTGATATATAGCGATAGAGAAAAAATCCTTTCACGTGAATGATGCCACAAAATTGATTTACAAACATTTTGTATGTACTGAAAATTATAATGTCTACTTCCAACCCAAAGAAATTTTATGCGTTCTCCGACTCGAATAACACGATCAACACTATTTCCGTTAACAAAATTGTTCGTTCTCTATTGATAGACAAAAAGTATTTTTGGTATACGGCAGGTTTATTATTGGCCGGAGAAGCAATATTAAACTTATTGATAATTAAATATGTAGCATGTAAGTTTTTATTGTTTCGTATCTATAATGGAATTACTTAGTAGCTTAATGCGGTTTTTTAAAATTAGATACCGAGATAGATTGGGTTGCTTACATGCAAGAAGTTTCAGGATTTCTTGATGGCGAGATAGATTACCTGAACTTAAAGGGTGATACTGGACCATTAGTGTAGGATTCTACTAAAGATAGGATAAGTCGAAACATTTAACTCCAGTTAATAGATATCTGTGTCTTTCAGTTATCCAGCTGGATTTTTGTACTTCTATTCTGCGTTATACTACATCACATCGGAAGGTGCTGATATAAAATTAGCACAGTATATATTTGCTGGTATTTATATTATTACGTTGGCTATTGTTTTTGCAATTTATAGTCGTTCTGAGAAGGTAAGTGAGTGGAGTAATGAAAGTTTTTGCATATATTGTGAGAAAGATTAATAACCTCGATCTCGATAACAAATTAGATATCACCCTATGTTTTGACTATCTTATGTCTCTCCAAAAGAATTCATTCAATATTCGTATTGAGATTATTTAATGATGCAATTACGATGGCATTTTTATACGCTAGTATTTTAGCAATGATTAATAAAAGTTGGAAGTTAAGTTGCATTCTTTATAGGTTTGTATGTTTATATTTTAGTTTTCGAATATTCTATTATTATAAGATAATAATTGTGCTTCTAACAGTTTAGCATTATCGATAAAAATGAATGTTTTGTTATTCTTTCCGGCATTTGGACTTGTACTCTATAAATCATTAGGCGCATGGAAAACATTAAATCATCTTTTACTTGTTATCATAATCCAAGTAGGTTTATTTCTTTTCCTTTTCATTCCCTCAACAATTTATCTATTTTTTTCATTTAATTATTATTAATTTTTCATTTAAATTGATTAATAAATATAGATAATAATTGCATTTCCTTTTCTGTCAACGTTTCCATCTTCCTATATAAATAGAGCTTTTGAATTTTCGCGTGTATTTAATTATAAATGGACCGTCAACTGGAAATTCTTGGATCCAAGCACATTTGTTAATCCAGAATTTGCTAAGCTTTTACTATTGGGGCATTTTTGGGTATTGGCAGCATTCTTATTTGGTATATGGTGTCGCACTGAAAATGGAGTGTTGGCCGTGTTAAAACGTGGATTTATCAGAAAAAGTAAAGAAGTGATTTGGGATGATACGGTTACAGCTGATCGTAAGTTAATATTTTATCATTAATTCTTTAACCTTCCAATATTAACAATAATCATCTACTATTGCTTAGACATAACGACATTAATGTTTACGAGTAATTTCATTGGCATTATATTTTCACGTACATTGCACTATCAATTTTATTCTTGGTATTTTCATAGTTTGCCATTTCTATTATGGCATTCCGTTAAAATTCCAATTGTGTTTAGGTGAGTAAGTCACTTGATTCTTTAAGAGTTTTTACGGGTTTATCTCTTACATAATAAATAACTTTTATTACCTAGATTTGCTTTGATTGGCTCAATAGAATATTGTTGGAATGTTTATCCAGCAACTAGTGAAAGTTCACTGTTGCTATTGTTTTGCCACATGTTGGTGTTGGCAGGATTATGGAGTGGTGAGGCTGAAGGTATTCGCTATAGACATAGTTATAATAATCCATCACGTCAAGAAGTAAAAAAAATCGATTGAGAAAATTAGTTATTTTTATCTGTTTATTTATTTGGAATGTAGTGTTGCATTTTATTGGGATCGAAGGGTGAGTTGAATTTGCATTTCGTATGATTAATTTTTACAGATTCAGTTCGGACGATCTTGTATATTTCAGAAAAATTTATCACATTTCGCATTTCTCGTAATGTACCTACGGATTTTTTGCTTGATTGCAAACTAATTTTTATTATAAAAGTCGTGCGTATTTACTCGCTGCGTTGAGCAGAGTTCACACTTTCTCAAAAAAAAATAGCAGCTATTGCACTCTTAAGGATATGAAGTAGGACTCGCTCTTGAACCCGATAAAAAAAACTAACTATCTTTCAAAATATTAACGCTGTGTGCGTGTGTGTATGTGCGAAATCGCAGAAACAATGAGTGGGACTACAGCCGAGCAAGAACAGACACAAAAACCTAAACCTAATTATAGCTCTGCTTTACCTACCAAATCTATCCTCACTCATTCCTCGTCGCGTAGTCGATTTCGAGGGGGTAAATCTACGGCACAAAATCACGAATTGTGTGATTCTTGTCATGGAGCAGGACACCTGATTTGTTGTGACGGGTGTCCTAGAGCTTTTCATTTTTTATGCGTTAATCCACCTCTCGACTACAATAATCCCCCTGAGGGAAACTGGTATTGCGTCGTGTGTAGTGTTGAAAGGGTTGGTATTCATTTGGCTAACAACATTTTTCGACGATCATATTAAAATATCAATTGTCTCTCTCACGTAGAATCCTCCTCCGAAAGCACCGCCTGGTCTCTTTTCTGAACTTTTTGATCATGTGCGTAGAACTAATCCTGTTCAATTTGAATTACCCGCATGGATTAAAGATTCATTTGAAGGAGGTGAGGAAAGCCGGATTTAATCGAGTTCCTTTTGATGACTATCACGGGAGTGAAATAACCTCTAAATTTCTTCGTTGTAACAGTTGCAACCGAGCCTACGGGTCATTATGTAGATAATAATACCAAAAAGTCTCCAAGATTAGAGTAAGTCACCTTGGGACCATTTAGAATAATATAATTATCAAAATGAATGAAAAAATTATTATTTGAATAGTAAATATGGTATGCCTGTCGAGCCTGATTACACTCAATTACAAGACGAAAAAGGCAATTTTATTTATTGTCATTGGTGTCGCAAACCTCCCTCGCGCCAAAAGCCTGCGATACCCTGCGATTATTGTCCAATGTATTGGCATTTGGATTGCTTGGATCCACCATTAGTCAAACGTCCGAGTTTATATAAAAAATGGATGTGTCCATGCCATGTTGATCATCTCCTAGTAAGAACGAAGCCTTTACATTAATTTCCCTTTTCTTTTTTTTTGTAATCTCGATTAAATAAGTACGTGATTTGATGATCCTTAACAGCCAAAAGTTCGCCGATTAAAGAGTTCAAAGGATGATTTAACGGAAATTTTAGGATCAGATAATACAGCACTAGCCTTTGAGACTGGAGAATATGATGAAGGTGGAAAATATATTGTACCCGAAATATTACGAGAACAGATGAAAGCAAGGGCAGCAGCCAGAAATTCAGAGTATATAATCATGTATTTGTGAATCTGAATAGTACAAATATATTTATGCACTATAATTTATTATGTCATTTTCAAAATTTAGTTGGGATCCTTTAGGTTATCCTGTTTCAGATCATGAAGGAGATGAGTTCGAAAACGAATCCGTTGAGAATCAAACGGAACTTAATGATGATGTAGATGTTGGCGGCGATTTGTCAGATGGAGTGTCAGAGTTAACAGACATATCAGATATTCAGTCGATAATAAGCGATTTATCAGATACAAAACCCGAAGATGGAAAGCCTGAAGAATCGAAAAACGAAAATGTTGGTGCTAAAGTGGCAACTGTTCGAAGTTCTCAGGAAAGAAAGAGGAATTGTAAGGAACGGTAAGATTTTTTCCATCAATCAATTGATAATCTCACATGTCGTTGACTACTATGCATTAAACTAATAGTGGAGACGATGGCGATGACAATCATAATGCTGAAGAAGGGGCTGGCAAAAAACGAAGGAAGATGTTCGATAAAGGATCCGACAATTTATGGCTTTTGGTTAATGCTGCCTTGCCATAAGGCTGCATTTTTTCTCGGGAATCGCAAAATTTCATCATACATGCTATTATCATGAGAAGATTATATATTGTATAGATTTTTGGATTTAGATTTTCTCGATTTGAGCCAAGTCGCATATCGATTATTAAATAATACGGCAGGAATTCAGGTGTATTTGATCACGTACTTTATGTTGGCTAATGTTTAAATTGGGCGCCATTATTATTCACAATATCGTATGATTGTTGAATTTCTATTCTATTCTTCTGATCATTGATTACATATCTCAATTGAGTTAACAAATTCAGATCCAGATCCAATTATGCATGAAGATATATACATATTTAGCTATTTCATTCGGGATAAAAGTAGCAATGTCGTCATAATTATCACCCATTGTTTCTTTTTCAAGGTTTATTATTATCCATTTACGTATCGGTATGTGTATCACGAGGCGTTATTTGTTATAACCATTTTTGGAAAATACTGATCACCTTAATTCAAAGTAGAGTGCTCTTCTTTTTCTTGAACATTATTAAACATTTCTCTGCTTTTCACAAATCTAAACTTTAACAGTTACTTTTTGGTAAATTTATAATTAATTAGTTATGACTTCACATCAAGATTCTTATAATTTGATATCAACTTCTCCTGAAGAAGAAGAGTTCGAAGTCATCACTCCATATTACTCGTATCGTACTGATAAAACTATTCAGAGGGTAAGTCAAGGGTAGTTAGTAAGTGATAAGAAAAAATCACGTTTGCGTGGCTGATATCACGAGGATTAAATAAATACCTATTCAAGTGCTCTCAATTCATTTCTTTTAGCATGAACCTCATTTTTGGGCTCAACGTAAGCAATCAAATCCAAAACTTCAATCTTCGGGAATTGAAACTCAAAGCAGTCAAGAACAACCAATACCTGGTATTATTAATAACGCAGATGTATCCCAATTACAAGGGGAAGAAATTCTCGGTTGAGCATCTAATATATTTTTAGTCAGTCGTCATCGATCATTATTACATTAATTAATAATACATGTATTTCTTAGATGTGGAAATCGAACGTGAACTTGTCACAGTTTGCACCAGCTTTCACAAATGTCTCGAACTGCGTGACAAGTACATGATGTTATCCCTACAAAGACTAGGTGATAATCCGAAAGATCAACTGGATTGGGATATATATCCGAAACCACCACCTCCAACATGGAAAAAACCGCCTCAAAGCCAGCATGAAGTGCTTTCTAGTGCTAATCATAATAAAAGAGGAAATTTGCAAGTTGGCGATGATTTTGATTTTGCCGCATGCGAGATTCCAGGGAGTCATGAGGTATTAATAATTAGACGCACTTCCTTCTAATATTGTTTTCGTTAATAGATAGTTTATTTGATTTTTTGTAGTTCCTTTTCGAATTAGATTCTTCTGGGGTTTACCAAGTATATAAAACTCGGGAAGGTAATTTATGATCTGATCGCTTATTGATTACTGGCTATTACAAAAAATACAATGGATTCTATTATCCTGTTATTTAATTTAGCTCTTGATAGGCATGAGCCTGCTTATAAAGTTCCCACCATTAGAGAATACTTTGTCGATCTCGATGCTATACTAGATATTATTTCAGATGGCCCAACAAAGAGTTACGCTTATAGACGTTTACGATATCTGGAAAGTAAATGGCATATGTATGTGATATCTAAAGAGGATCAAGAAACTGCGGACTCAAAGGTACATGGTATTAATAGTTTTGAATTTTTGTATATTTACTAATCAAATCAAAATATACACTTTAATAGCGAGTTCCGCATCGAGATTTCTATAATGTACGCAAGGTTGATACACACGTTCATCTTGCATCCTGCATGAATTCCAAACATCTTTTACGATTTATTAAATCGAAATTAAAGAGAAACTCGAACGTATGCATCAAATTTTTCACCTGATATTTCTTTTCCATCAATTGTATCTCGGATTTTGACAATTCATAAATTGGAATACAGGACAAAGTGATCTTTCGGGATAATAAAGTCCTTACACTTATTGAGGTGTTTGAGAGTTTGGGTTTGACAGCATATCATCTTAGCATAGATACCTTGGATATGCATGTAAGTTTTAAAAGTAGGGGCGTGAATAATCTATTATCAATGTTCATACTTACTACTCTTGTTAGCTGAAAGTTTCTTCCCTTTCAAATTAAGGCACATAAGGATTCATTTCATCGATTTGATAAATTTAATCTTAAATATAATCCGATTGGTGAATCTCGTCTAAGAGAAATTTTCTTAAAGACTGACAACTATATTTCTGGTCGTTATTTTGCCGAATTAACTAAAGGTCAAAAAAAATTTGGTCGCTTTTTTATTATTGTTACTTTTACACCTTATTAATCAATCCTATTTGCATAATTAACAGAGGTGATATCTGATTTGGAAGCTAGCAAATATCAGATGGCTGAATACAGGGTCTCGATATATGGGCGGTAAGATGTGTCTCTTAATACAATTCATTATGTCGAAGAAAAGAATATGAGCTCCTAAAAAATTTATTCTTCATTCTATCATTCAGCTCTAAATCCGAATGGGATAAATTAGCTACATGGATAGTGAACAATAAGATAGTTTCGCCCAATGTACGTTGGTTAGTACAGATTCCTAGATTATACAATGTTTACGCAAGTAATAAAACGGTAAAAAATTTTGAAGATGTAATCAAAAGTAGGTTTTTAGTTATTACATTATTTCATTTTCATTTGAATTAATCGTCTGAACTCGTCTAATTAGATATCTTTGAGCCATTATATGAGGTGACCCGAGACCCCCGCTCGCATCCTGAATTACACGTATTTCTTCAACGTGTTGTTGGTTTTGATAGTGTGGATGATGAGTCAAAAGCAGAAAGACGTGTTCACAAGAAATATCCATTTCCTAAAGATTGGGATACTGTATTGAATCCACCATATTCGTATTATATATATTATATGTATGCTAATATGACGAGCTTAAATCAATGGAGAAAAGTTCGAGGATTTAGTAAGTTATCTATATATTTATCATGGGTTATTTATAAACTACTGTTCATTTATTTTCTTTATATTAAAGATACATTTGTTCTTCGACCTCATGCCGGAGAAGCTGGTGATACTGATCATTTGACTTCTGCTTTTCTTACTTCTCAGTCCATCTCTCATGGAATTCTATTAAGAAAAGTACCTGCGCTTCAATATCTTTATTACCTGAAACAAATGGGAATTGCAATGTCTCCTTTATCCAATAATGCTCTATTTTTGAATTACGAAAGAAATCCATTTTTGAGCTTCTTTCAAAAAGGACTAAATATCAGTTTAAGTACGGATGATCCATTGCAATTCCATTTTACTAAAGAGCCGCTGATTGAAGAGTATAGTGTTGCCGCTCAGGTTAGTCATTGGGCGTTGTTCCATTTTTATTATCATTATTTACTTTGCATTAATTAATATAGCGAGTGTTTCTCTTATATTGCTATCAATGAATTAGATATGGAAATTGTCTGCGGTAGACATGTGCGAACTCGCGCGTAATTCTGTAATTCAAAGTGGATTCGAAATGAGCGTTAGAAACCACTGGTTAGGAAATCAATGGTTTCTTCCCGGCGTTGATTCCCATGGTACTCTGGATCTATTTTTTATTCCGCTTTTTTTTTCACTCTTCTAGACGAAGTTAATTTAATGTGGAATTAATTTTATAGGCATTCATAAGACTAACGTTCCCACAGTTCGTTTGAATTATCGTTATAATACTCTTATGGAGGAAATTCATATGGTGAGAAAGTATTCAACACTTAAAACAGCCAATGATTCCTTTGAGCGTAGCACGGTTCAGCAATTAATATTGGATGGTAAAAGTACTGGAGAAAGTCAAGTTGGTATTTGATTTCATTAAACGATAGTTTTACAAGTATTTAAATGAACATCTAAAATAACTATAAGCTTTGAATATTTTTACAAGATTCCATTAATAAAGACCAATTTAATACGTAATTAATATTCTAAAATATAAATATCATATATAATATTTAAAATTTACAAAATATAGTATTTGAAATTGGAATTTGAATAAAATTATTTATTCAAGTTAACATGGATATTTTGTTTTTTCTTGTTTTCATATTTTTTTATATATAGTAATTAACAAAATTATTAGTAAAAATTGAAATTTTTATCTTACATAAAAGTTTTTAATTTTATTAATAAATATTTTTTATTTTTATATCTTAATATATATTTTTTTAGATTTAATTTGACAAAGTTGTTCTAATTGAAAAGTTATTACAAAATATTTTTATGATTAAATATAAAATTAATTATAAAAATTTTTTGCAATCAGAACAACTATCAAATTTCAGATTAAATCTAAAAAATCCAGTACAAAATTATGGAATAATATATACAACTTTATTAATAAAATATAAAATTTTTATAACTTTATTAATAGAATATAATAAAAATTAAAATTTTTGTCTTATATACATCTATAATAAATTACTGAAAATCCAAAAAAAAGCATAGTAAAATTGAAATTATCTTTTTATAATGAAATTTTTATTTTTATTAATAAATATATTTTGTTTTTATATCAAAATAAAGCTAAGAACTCATATTTTAATATATATTTTTTAAATTTAATTTCAGAAATATTTTGAATTATAAAGTTGATTATACAGATCTTTTATAATTAAAAATTCAAATTCTTAAATTTTAATTATAAAAAGTTTGTATAATCAACTTTATAATCCAAAATATTCTTGAAATTAAATTTAAAAAATATATATTAAAATATGAATTCTTAGCTTTATTTTGATATAAAAACAAAATATATTTACTAATAAAAATAAAAATTTCATTATAAAAAGATAATTTCAATTTTACTATATTTTTTTTTGGATTTCTGATAATTTATTGTAAATATGTGTATATAAAAAGTTTTAATTTTATTAATAAATATTTTTATTAATAATCAAAATAAAAATTATAAATTATATTTTAATATATATTTTTTGAATTTTTTAAATTTTATCTAATAAAGTT